TTTTATTTTTTGGGGGGTTTCTGACGTTCGCCGCGTGGGATATTGATCTACTACAAAGGGTTTTTTGGGGGCCCCACATTATTGCTTTTGGGGGGGGGGGGGGGGGGGGTCGAAAGGCGTAAATTGAGTGCCGAATGAGTGATGTTGGTGCGGGTCTTTGCGATGACCAGAGATCAGACTTTCCCACGTCGCGCTGTCGTCGTCGCTTGCAGTTGATGTCGTCGTCTCGTCGAAACGCTGAATCCAGAAATTGAAGATTTTCGGTGCGGATAGCTATCGATAAGATTTTGGCGGGGTGTTGCCCAGATGTCCAAGCCAAAGTCAAGGTGCATCAGGCTTGAGCCAGGGTGTCCACCCCAGCCTTAGCTAAGCGTCAAGGGGCAGCCATTCGCTGCAGGAGGACACGCTCTAAATTTCGGGGCGACCAACATGCCAGCACTGCCTGCTCTGCCCTTCCCCTGACGTGATAGCTGTCGCTCTTTTCATTCTTTACACGTACGCTTCAAGAAGATCGGGAGACGTTGTTCTGAAACCGCCATCATGTGGATTCTTCCTATTCTCGGGGTTATTGGCTCCATCGTGGGCTTCTGCTTCCTGACCTTGGCAATCGGTACGGCCCACTTGCTCGCGCGCCGACGCGACCCCCTTGGATTTGGAGGACTTGCGGACTGACTTGCGATGGTGTAGCGTCGGGTCTTTACTACCTGTCCGAGCTGGTCGAGGAACACACGGTGCTCGCCAAGCGCCTGTTGACGCAACTGATTTACATTATTGTCGTTCTCCAGCTTCTACTATGGGCCGTGGACGGGCTCTCGTTCAAGCTGACGCTTCTGTCCATCTTCTCGCACATCGTCTACCTTGGCAACATGCGGCGCTTCCCTTACGTTCAGCTCACTGATCCGCTGTTCCTTACCTCCTGCGGTAAGTTGTCTCTGCGGACCTTTGGCGGCATGTCGCATAGGCTGACCCTTCCATAGCTCTCGTGCTCACAAACCACTACTTCTGGTTCCGCCACTTCTCCGATACCCAAGCGCGATCCTACTCCAACATGCGCTCCATCTACGACCAGCCTGATACTCCCTCGTTCACGCAAATCGCCTCCTACTTTGGCATCTGCGTTTGGCTGGTGCCTTTCGCTCTGTTCGTCAGCTTGTCAGCCAGCGACAACGTCCTCCCCACCATGGGCAGCGAAACACCCTACCAGCAGGCCGATGGAAAGAACAAGCGACAGGGCATGGTCAAGGCGCTGGTTGACTCTGTTACCGGCGGCATCGGTCAGGTTGTTCAGTCAGTCGGCTTGCAGCAGCGGTCTGGAAACGCGTGGAATGACTGAGCGGATGAAATGTGAGGAGACGTTCGATGACGTGTAAGCGGCCCATACATTCTCCCGAGGTTGCGCAAGGCTAATTTGATGGCAGATGTAAGGTGGAATTAAAATCACTTCTAGACCATCTATTGCCTCCGCGGCGAACATCATTCAACACAAGACCAACCAGAATCAAGCCGCACGCGCTGGCCATATGGACCCCTCGAAGGCGAGTAGTGCTTCCCTCTGAGGTCCTAGCGTGCCACTCTACCTGCTACCACGGCCGTGGTCGATGCGTGCTGTGGTGCAGTACACGACTCTCTGCCGGATGCTGTGAGTGGACAGTACCCCCCATTGTGCGAATGCCTGTATCTGAGACCAGACGGCACGATGGGGAACTGCCAGTGAAGGTCCTGTATCGTATTGAGCCTCATCATGGGGCGCGCTCGGTTGGTCTTGACTTTTCTTGCGAGCTTCAATCGAACCAAGATGAGCTGGCTGACGGTGTTCGCGTCCCAAGCGAATATTCACCGCTTGAGCAAATAGACATGATCTAGTCTTGACCCAAATAAACTACAAGCCCGGTCAACTCAACTTGCAACGCGTATCTGGTGGCTTTTGCGTTCCTCACGGGGCACAGTTGATTACTAATAAGTACCCCTTTCGCAATATCTCGCACGTGATACTGGCTTCCGCCACACCAGGCGCACCGCCACACTCTTGATTCCCGCCCAGCGGATGCGCCCCTCTTGGTGACCTCGCTCTCGTCTTCCGTCACGGTGGCGACAAAACAGTGGATTTCTCCTTCTTTAGCATACAACTCACTACATCCGGAACTTTTATTCCCAGTAATCTTCCTCATTGGATTGGAGCTGTGGCCGCGTGGGCCTCCTTCATGCGACCGACGCCTTGACTCTTGACTCGACTGCGCCGGCAGCCTAGTGTGTCGTGGCTGTGCAGTATAGACATGGCTCGCACGTAGGAGCCCTCTCGCTAAACCTCGGCTTGCACTTTCCATTGAATTCTTCTTTCGTTCCGAATCTCGTTAATGGAAGCGTCTGCTGAGAAGAATCGATTGAGCTGCTCCCGCGTGACCTATTTTGCTGTGCAGGTTGCCTCTTCAAGAGGCCAGACAAGGCTCTTGCGTTGCCAAGACTTGACACATCAGTGGCGGGTGCATCCAGACCCACACGGAATTGTGGCTGGAGCATGATGCACCAGTGACAACCCCAAGCTGACGTCGCCTTGCTGCGACAACCATCCACTGCAGGCATCCATTTTGGCATCCACGTTGGCATCGATCCCAGCATCTGTCATGTGTGATCCAATGGCATGTGCGCTGCGGCTCAAGCCCCCGAGGCCTCGTAATCTGTCGTCGTCGCCGGCGGATCTCTATAAACATGGGCGGCGTCCGACCTGAGGGGCATGTGCCTCTAGAGTGTTCATTGCTTTCCTCACCATTTCTCCTCGCTCCCCAGACACTTGAACCCAAGCACACGTACACATATGGGCTCATTTTTCGTTACACCTCCAACACCGACCACTCCTACCGAACGACGGACTGAGCTCATGACCAGGCCCGAACGCACCATGGCGCCGTCCATCGATTCGGCCCTGGGCACGGCCGACATGGCCAACGAGCAGAGGGGCCTTCTCGAGCTCATCGACAAGCTTCAGTTCGCCCAGCTTGACAATGTCAAGCTGCCGCAAATCGTCGTTGTGGGCGATCAGTCTGCAGGCAAGAGTTCTGTTCTCGAAGCCATCACCGGCACCCCATTTCCTCGCGATGCCGGCGCTTGCACACGATTCGCAACCGAGATTCGTATGAGGCGATCAAACGAGCCGTCACTCACTGTCTCCATTATCCCGGATAAGCATCGCAATTTTCGCGACCAGGAGCGTCTGAAGCAATTCGGCGGCATGGTCGACCACGACATGCCCTTTGACGCATTGATGCGGTCTGCCGTCGATCTCATCGCTCCCAAGAACATTCCCGGCAGGTTTGCCGCCCGCGACATCTTGGTCGTCGAGAAGCGTGGTCCTGACATGCCTCTGCTCACTCTTGTTGACTTGCCGGGCCTTGTTCGGAATGCCAACAACGACCAATCGCTCGATGACATCAAGACGATCGACACCCTCTGCGACCGCTACATGAAGAGCTCTCGCACCATTATCCTCGCCGTCGTTGGAGGCAACAGCGACTATGTGCAAGCACCCATCCTCACAAAAGCCCGCCAGTTCGACCCCAGTGGTTCCCGCACCATTGGTGTCTTGACGAAGCCCGATCTTTGCGAGTCGATCGGCCTCGAAGACAAGTTTATCGATCTCGTCCAGAACAGAGACCAGGCCAATTTCTTCAAGCTCGGCTGGTATGTCTTGCTGAACCCTGGACCTCGCGACCAAGGCCAGCCCTGGCCTACTGCTCGCGAGCGTCAGGAGCGCGAGCAAGAATTCTTCGGCCGCGGCAAGTGGCGCGCCCTGCCAGAGTCCATGTGCGGTGTGCCGGCGCTGAAGCAGAAGCTCAGCGTCCAGCTGCAACGTCACATCGGCCGCCACGTCAAGACGCTCAGGAAACAGATCCAGACGGCGCTGGATACTTGCGACACGGAGCTCAAGTCCATGGGCGAAGGCAAGGACACGGTCCCCGAGATGCGGGTCGAGCTTGTGGAAGTCTTCTCGTCTTCCAAGGAGCTCGTCATTCCCGCCGTCTACGGTTTCTACAAGAACCCTCCTCGCAAGAACTTCTTCCGCGCCACGGCCGACCCTCGAGGCACGCCCGCCCAAAACCTTCGCGCCCGCGCCATTGAAGAGAACGAGAAGTTTTCGCATCGCATTCGCCAGAACGGCCGCAAGTTTGGCTTTGCCTCGTCGACCGACCCCCGTGCGCCCAACGCTGTGCCCCTCGGCGACAGCGGCAAGAAGGAGTTTGTCGCGCACGAGGTCGAGATGCTCCTGCGCCAGATTCGCGGTTCGGAATTCCCCATGGACCCCAAGCCTCGTGCCGTCTACATGCTCTTCCAGAGCTACTCGGAGAACTGGCCCAAGCTGGCCCAGGAGCACAAGGACAACCTTGGAGTCGTCTGCAATGAGTTTCTCAGTGAGGTGATTGACTTTGCCTGGCCGCAGCGCATGAGGGAGCCGCTTCGCGCGCAGTTCCTCGATCCTCAGATGAGGGCCCTCATGGCCAGCGCCCAGGAGGAGCTCGAGCGACTTACACAAGACATGAACCTTGAGATTCAGCCCTATGATCCCGAGTACGAAGAGCGCCTGCGCAAGTGGCACGTCGAGACGACAAAGGACGGCGGCACCTATAACGAGGCGCAGGAGGTTTTGGAGAAGATGTTGATCTTCTACGAGCTTGCCGCCAAGACTTTCATCCGCAACACCATCACACAAGTCATTGAGCGTCACCTGCTGCAGGGCATGTATGGTATCTTCAACTCGGTCGCCATCATGGGTATGGCGGATGACGGCGTCGAGGCCATCGCAGCTGAAAACAAGGAAACGCGCGACAAGAGGATGGCGCTCAAGACACAGAAGAACGCCATTGAGGAGGCTAGAGACATTTGCGCCAGCCTCGCCATGCGCAAGGAGTTGCGGGCCTATGCTGATGAAGATCGCGACATCGAGGAAACCTCCGACGAGGACGACGAGTCGCGTCCCCAGGAACGCCCCCAACAGCACCCACGACAAGCCACCGCGCCCTCAAACACCCAGCCTCCCCCTCCCAGGACATCGGCCGAAGCTCATCGCCCAGCGCGCAAGCCCACGGCACCCCAGGCTGACGCCGCCGTGAACGGCAACTACACCCATGCGTCGAATGGCGCGCCCCAGGGCCTGCCCACGCCCCGCGTCGAGGCACCTCGCATCCAGAGCTCGGGCGATTGGCACGGCGAGGAGCAGCCGGTGCGGTCGGTGCCGCATCATGCCCCGCCCCCGCCGCCGCGGCCCGAGAAGCTGCGGACGGAGGACCAGTACGGGGTCAGCCCTGTGGAGAACGGCTACGGGTCGTACGTCGGCGAGACGGAGTATCCCCCTTCGGCGTCGCGGGACTCGAGGCGCGTGTCGGCGAAGAAGCTGTTCGGCAGGTCGTGAGGTGGTGGAGCTGAGTGATTCGTGGCATGATAGCGGGATGCATTTATTTGGGGCTCATTTCTTTTGGAAGGAGGAATTGGGATGTCACGGGTTGGATCGAGCCTTGGTATTTTGGGAGTGCATGGTGAAGTGGTACGATAGATACGATAGATACAATATACCCCATAAGAGTTTGGACACTACGAAATAGGTATATGATCCGTCATGATGTGTACATGTGATGAAACAGGCGAGACTAATAATGCAGGGGATTGGCTCCGTAGCGTGGAAGTGACTAAGTGACGTGTGGTTGCGAGCGGTCAGTGTTGCATCACAATGTTACATAGAATGTTTGGTTGATGACGCAGGTTAGTATTAACGTCAACCATGTATGTTCATAGTGTTACGATTTCTGACGATGTACCGGCCACAAGTGGGCTAGCCTTGCTGGACAACCATGTGTACTTGTCCATCTGAACCAACCCATTGGCTTGATCGCATAACAGCACCAGTCACAATGCGAAGCAAGTAAAGGTCATAATCTCATTGAATCCTGCCTAACAGGCCCCTGCGCCTAGCTCCGATGAATATGCAATACACGATGTCAACCATTTCACGCCTTGACCTTGAGGATGGCCTTGCCAAAGTTCTTGCCGTGGAAGATGCCAACCAGACCCTCGGGCGCGTTCTCGATGCCCTCGGTCACGTCGACCTTGGCCTTGATCTTGCCGTCGGCGAGCAGGGGCTGGACCTTGTCGTTGAAGGCCTGGTAGCGCTCGGGGGTGAGGCTTACGATGAAGCCCTTGAAGGTCAGGGACTTGCCGATGATGTTGAAGAGGTTCTTGACGCCGTAGCGGTCCTCGGGCTTGACGTTGTAGTCGACGATGGAGCCGCAGGCGATGATGCGGCCGTGCTTGTTGATGGCGTGGAGGGCGGCCTCGAGCTGGGCGCCGCCGACATTGTCAAAGTAAATGTCGATGCCGTTCGGGGCCAGGCGCGCGAGGGCCTCGTTGGCGTCTTCCGTCTTGTAGTTGAAGGCGCCGTCGAAGCCGAGCTCGTTGGTGATGAAGTCGATCTTCTCCTGCGAGCCGGCTGAGCCGATGACCTTGAGGCCCTCGGCCTTGGCGAGCTGGCCGACGAGCTGGCCGACGGCGCCGGCGGCCGAGGACACGAAGATGGTCTCGCCGGCGACGGGCTTGCCGATCTCGTAGAGGCCCTCGTAGGCCGTGGTGCCCGGCATGCCGAGCACGCCGATGAAGTAGTGGACGGGCAGGTTGTGGGGGTTGTGGACCTTGCGGAGGCCCATGGGCTTGAAGGCCGGGGCCGGAATGACGGCGTACTGGGCGTTCTGGCCGTAGAAGGAGACGAGCTCGTCGCCGACGGCGAACTCGGGCGTGTCAGAGCGGAGGACCTTGACGACCGAGGCGCTCACTATGGGCTGGTCGAGGTCGAAGGGGGGCGAGTATGACTTGATCTTGGGGTCGCGCATGCGGCCGCGCATGTAGGGGTCGAAGGAGGTGTAGAGGACCTCGACGAGGACACCGCCGTGGAGGGGCGCATTCTCGAGGTCAATGGGCCTGTCCTCGATGACGAGGTCCTCGCCAGGGACGGGGAAGCCCTGGGGCCCCTTCTTGTAGATGAAGGACTTGTTGGAGGTGGGCGCCATTGTGTATGTGTGTAGGTGGGTTGTGTTGGTGTTGAGGGGTATCTGTGTAATGGAAAAATGCGGGGCACAATGTGTCGCAGGATCGATAGAGTGCTGATAGATGATGGGACTAGGGGCTGTGAAGATGATGGCATATGTCAAGGAGGAGGAGGCCAGGTCGAGGCTTTATATCGGTTGACAGCCATCACCATTACCAAGCCAGGATCCAGTCTGTGTTTTGGCGTAGGCGCCATCGGCAGACCCCATTGTCACGTCATGGACGTGCAAAAGATTTGATTGATCGAAGAGATTCTGACGTTCTGGGCGAGTAAGGGTAGCTGCTGTTTGCTGTACAGGATGGATGGGTTCGCCTGGTTTCGATTCGGCGTTGCCTGGTGGGTGCGGTGGGTGCGGTGGGGGTTGTGACGAAAAGAGACATGACGCCGTTCCCGAGAGATCATCGAGGTCCTTGATTGGGTCAAGAGCAGAGACCAGCGAGTAGGGGACCTCGGCTTGCTTACAGAGCAGAGACGTGGCCTCGGTTCCTGCGCCTTAACCATGCACCTATCCGTAGATCAAGACCCGTTAATGCATTAAACAGAATCCGAGTTCCCCTTTTCCTGCAAACTCTTGCCTTGCCTTCTATTGCCCCTCCCTTAACCCCGCTATTCTCACTTCTTCTTCATGCTGCCTCCCTCAACACGGATCAGCCTTCACCGATCCCCCCCCCCACCCAGCCCTATCAGTCATTATCGCCGAAAGTCAATTTACTGAAATGACTGACTTTTGCCATGTTCACAGCTCCCAAACCGGTTCGGGCGGCAGGGCGGCCTGACATCATGCCGACCTCTACTCCACCACGCTACCTCCGAAAGCGAAGCTTCTGCTATGCAACACGGCCCACGACCCCTCCCTAGCTCGCGCCGTTCCTCACCATCATCCGCGCCTCAGCCACGACCATGTCCGACCGTTTGCCATCGTCGATCCCACCGGCGGTGCCCGGCCCACTCCTGACAAGCACCGCCGGACCATCCCCCGACGGAGACTTGACCCAGACTTCCTTGTACCCACTCGCCGCGAATCCGAGCTTCTCGAAACTTCGCCGCCCCTCTTCCGTAGCCGTGAGAGCTGGAAAGTATGTCAGTCAGCAACTCGGCCTTGTCTCAACAACAGACATTTCTGACAGTTTTCTTGTCAGAAGGAAACCGAAAAGGAGAAAAAAAAAACATACCGGACACCCCCTCGACAACGTATCCCTCCCCCTGCGCAGCCTTGACCAACTCGTCGACGGCAAACCGCGCAAAGCCCCTGACAGCATCCCCCTGCACCTCCTCGACCAGCTTCTCAATGTGAAACACATGCACGCCGACGGCGTCGCCCTTGGTCCGCGAAAAGTCCCGCGCCGCATCCACGGCCGACTCGCGCAGCGTGCCGACGCCGAGGTCCCGCCACGCCGGCACGGCGAGCGGCAGCCCGACGACGACGCCGACGAGCGTGTCGCCGGCGTGCAGGGCCATCGACAGCTCCGGCGCCGCGGCGACCCAGGCCTCGAGGCGCTCGAGGGGCAGGCCTGCCGGGTACATGGCCTCATCCGAGCTGTGGATGGACTGCACCATCTCGGGCGACAGCGGCGTGCGTGTGATGTAGGATGTCCAGTCCATGGTGTGCGAATGCGTTGTGTTGTGACGTGACGTGTGATATGTATGCTCCGCAAGAAGAATGGTGTGAGCCTCCCCGTTTGCACAAAGACGAGAATCGGCTCAAGTATGCGAGCGTTTTTGGAGTATCATAGCCATTACGTCAGGGGTCGGCCGGACTTGTGGGACTGGATCCAGTCTGCGCTCCAGCTGGGGCGGGCTTAGCGTATGTCATTTTGCACATGTTCGCAGGCTCACAGAGTGTCGATTGCCCTGCACCCGCGATGCAGACGTCGGGTCATTGGTTCCTGTGGACAACAACGCAGCGGACGTCGTGCTGTCAATACTGTCTTTGGACGGTACAATCATCCATTGCTATATGCTAACAGATCATCTGCTCGGGGATGTAACGACGGAAGTTTCACACCATATGAGTGATGAGAAGCAAATATCACCGCGAGGACAAGTGCTATAAAAGGTTAAATGGACTCAAGGAGGCAGAGAGTGGTATCACATCCCAGAACATGTAGCATCAAGGCCATCCCGTGAAATATCCATTGACTTGTAGGATCATATGCTGCGGGCCTCAACAACGAGGGTCAACGTCACGTCTCGATGGCGAGCTACGCTACTGATTGGAGGGATGCCAGTGTGATAAGCCGGAACTGTCAGAGAGAGGGGATGGGCAGAGTGGAGGGGTCTTCCGCAGGCGACATCCGCAGCCAATTTTAGGTAGGGACTTAGACTATAGATGGTCTCTGTCCCTCTGCAGGTCGTTTTTTTGCGTGATGCGAAGTCTGATGATAAAAGCAGAGTCTTAACGAGCTCTATATTGTAAAGGTTTATCACCATTATTGCGGCGTCTAATCAACGAACTCTTAGCTTCCAAATAGATGACGAGAACAACTGGTTCATCTACAAAGTCTCGACAGATTCGATTTCGCAAACCTTTTATAACAAGTTAGAGACTGCAATTTATAATCTGTTTCTAATGAATATGATCTTATCACCGTTATCAGTGTAGTGCTCAACGGCACGCCTCTAGATAAGGGGCAGACCTGTCCTAGAGTAGCTGATTCACGCCATTCACTTGCGGGCAGTTGCGGAAAGTAGCGAGACATTTCAAAAGCGTGAGAGGGTCTTGGTAAAGCTTGGTACAATAAGTTGAAGCAACAAAGCACAAGTATCAGTCCCACAAACATTAAGGCTCCTTGTCTGGCTTGAGTTGTCGAACTTCACATGTACTCTTTGACTCGACATTAATTAAGACGCGTTGATATCTGTCAGGAGACCCTGCGGAGTCGCCAAGCAGGGGGTCGACTAAGGACTTAGGGCTACGGGAAACGTATATATATAGGCTGCGGAGGGCCAGAATCCAGATATATTCCGATCCCCTCCTATCTTCTACTTGGTGCGGACCACGTGTGGAAGACCTCTTCACTCTGCTCTAAACAACGCTCTGACAATATGTCAGTATCATATCGCATCCACCCATATCGCATCCACCCATATCGCATCCACCATGGACTATGGCTCAGACCAACAAAAACCTGCGCATGACTGCAAGACTTTTACTTTTTTAATGACAGAGAACTGTCCCAACATCGTCACTCTCAGGAGCCTCCAATCAGCGTGCAGCCATAGAAGTCCACGGTGTTGAATGAAGGTCCTTAGATGGATGCATTGATGGTTGGAGAAGAGTAACATCGTATGGCTCTTTTCAGCCTAGCAGCTTAACTTTCAGACTTAGTACCTTGTGCAAGGCCTATCCTATCGTCAAGCCTTCGTTCACGAATCTAGTTGTTGTCATCGCCTGATGCAAAACACGCACCAACATGCCCGTGGCAACGTTCAGCCTTGACAATTGTTCTCCACTTTCGTTGGCGAAGTTGCCACACGGATAGTAAGGCAACGCCACATTGCACTTTAAGGCTTCTAGTCAAGCTCCAACTGGCTAAGAAAGTGCTTCCCAGCAATGCAGCTTTCAATGAACAATGGCAATCATGCGAAACATGACACCAGGTTGTGTAAAGTGGGTCCATGTTGAGAAGAATGGTGCCTTGGGCAGTCTTCGAACTCGAATTTCATACGCATTCCACCTGGCGAAAGAGTAGAGGAGGAGCTCTTCAAAGACTACAAAGCATCGCGGTACTACCCAGTCATCATCGGTCAGGTCCTTAAGGATCGCTATTAGATTGTAGGAGAGCTGGACTTTGGTGCCAGCTCAACTGTTTGGTTGGCGCGCGACCTACAGTAAGATAGCCTTGGGCTCGCTCAGGGATCAGCCCTAGAACATACGACTAGCTCCGCTGACGCAATGTTAGGGGTCGTCGACATATGGCACTGAAGCTTTTCATTCGTTCTCAGTCTATGGGTGAACAGCTGGATCGCGAGGTTTCCATATATAAGCGTATTTCCGATGCTTCTTCGACGCACCCTGGCCGCGGTGCAGTCAGGGAGCTTCTCGACTCATTCGACATCGCTGGACCGGAGGGATTGCATCGATGTCTAGTTCATCCTCCATTGTGGGAAAACCTGCTGACTTTCCTTCACCGAAATCCAGTTGGGAGATTGCCCGTGCCCGTTCTCGCCTTTATACTCCGGCGCATGTTTCAGGCTTTGAACTTTCTGCACACAGCATGCCAGGTTGTTCATACAGGTAGGTCAGAGAATTAGGAGGATCTCATCCTTTGATTCAGCCACGCTGCTTATCTTTTGAGGACTATACTGACCCATGGTGGGTAGATATCAAGGCTGACAACATCATGTTCGGCATCGAAGATGATTCCGTCTTCACAGCATTCGAGGAAGAAGAGCTGATCGACCCATGTCCGCGGAAAACTGTGGATGGCCGAAGCATCTATGTCTCCCGTGAGCTCCAGATACCAAAGGCCTGGGGTGCACCTGTTCTCTGTGACTTGGGCTCGGCCGTCACTGGGAAAGTCGAACACCTGGAAGACGTGCAACCGGATATCTACGGGGCACCCGAAGTCATCGTCGAAGCACCATGGTCCTACTCGATTGATATATGGAACACCGGCTGCGTGGTTAGTTTCCTTTCTCTTTCTGCCGTCAAAGAACCTACGCCTTAGTGTCTAGTTTGACTGGGAAACGCCCTAATTACGTCGTAGATCTGGGACCTATTCGAAGGGGGTCACCTGTTCACAGACACGATCCAAAGTTTGAGAGATACCGGAGCCGAGCACACCTTGCAGAGATCATTGCTCTCCTTGGACCACCTCCACAGACGCTGCTGCAAATGGGCAGGTCGAGCCACAAGTTCTTCACGGAAACCGGTAAGTGCGACGACGCTAGCGATGGGGCCACTTAGTCCCTCCGCCTCTACCTTGCTGACAGGGTGTTGCGCCGTAGGGAACTTACATGGCGCCGACTCGGGGCTGCTGGCTGGCTCATCACTTGAGGAAAGGCAGACTTCCCTAGAGGGCGACAGTCAGAAAAAGTTCCTCGCCATGATGCGAAAGATGCTCCAGTGGGAGCCCTCAAAGCGATCATCGGCAAAGGCCTTGGCTGAAGATGGATGGATTGTAGATAATATCCAATGACCTATGTAGGCGTTGCGACTGTCCATTGTACTTGTAATTCTTCTCATAGTGCTTTTCGGTTTTTTGTGTCTCAAACATCATCACATCACACCAAACTAAGTGATCACTAGAATTCCACTTCGAGCAGATATTTGAAGATGCTTATGATGTTCCTTTCCTTTTATCTTGAATGGATCGTGTTCCATGTATACTGATTTGTCCAACTCATCTCCTGAGTGTTTCCGAAAGAAAATCAAAGTCGAAGATCTAAGTTGTGTCTGATGAGAGCCTATTCCAAGTTCAAATCACTATCTGGCAGACTTTGTCCAGTATACTCTCGATGAATCGAACGCCAACTACAATACCATCCTCGTCCAGATACTGCTCTTGACTGCCAAAAGCTTCATTCTCCGGGTCTAAACATGTCAGACATCTCACAACCACGTCCGTATACAAATCTCCCAGGCGAGATGGAAGAATAGTCTTCGCCATGCCCACCAGATGCTCCTTCAGCCGCCCGTCGCCTCCTGTGTTGTTCTTTTGAAAGTGAGAGTCGGAGAGAGCCAACCCAAGACTGATTCCTGGCACAGGCGCTGCTGTGTCGCTTTGGCTCTCGTCTGGGTACCACACGAACGATCGCCATAGACCCAGTTCGAGCAGGCAGACGCCCAGACTGTAGATGTCGTGCTGCATGACGTAGCGCTCTTGGACTAAGTTTCCTTGTCGCTCCGGATGACGGTACAAGTTTCTATGCCATGCTGCGTCGCCGAGCAGATTTGTCTGGAAGTGGGTGCTACGAAATTGGTTGAAGCCAAGAAGATAGCTCGTCCCCAGAGATGAATTTGCATCGGAAAATACAAGAATATTGTCGGGCCGGATGTTCTTGTGCACGAAGTCACAGGTATGTATGTAGCTAATGGAGTAAACAAGCTGCTTCGCTGTCCGCATAATAGCTGACGCGCTGACAGGGTGGTGCCGGAGAAGAAGCTGGCGGAGGGTCATGGGAGGGTTGGCATCCTGCGGTGCACGGTAGACGACTTCGATGTACTTGAGGCCCTTTGTGGCGGGATCCTGATGCTTGAGCAGACCGTAGCAGCGAAGAAGACCGAAAGTTTGGGGGTCGACCTGCTGGAGGCGCCGGGCAAGATTTTCAACGTCCACTTTCACCTGTGAGATTGTTCCTGGAGGCGCATTAACAGACTCGGCAATGAAAAGGCTGCTTGAGCCTGCTCTGACTATGGATCGGGCCGAGGAGAAGGGTATCGGTGTTTCTGTTGCGCCACGGAGACCAGCGGCATCAAGGTTCAAGCTTGTCTTTGGTTGCGATTCACCAGAAAATGATGTTTTGGGAGAGCTGATCGCCTGGCGAAGTGCGAGCATGCTGTCGAGAGGACTAGGGCTAGAGCAAACAGACGTCGACTCGGTAGCCTTCGTATCTGTTTCTTTGAGTGCCGTGTCTAAGGTGTTGCTACTCATCAGGATGATGAGATACCATGTCGGATCAAAACGACTTCGCCATGCCTCCAATTCAGTCACCAATTCGTCGAGGCCTTTCTTCGCTAACGAGAAGCGCCATTTCCTCCAAACTTCAGAGGTCTTTTGCTTAAGAGTCGAGTCGTCGGAGGGTGAAGATGTTGAGACGTTGAGTCGGGCAACAGCCTGAAGCAGCTTGCCATTAAGGATCTCGAGGAGGTCTAAGTGGCTTTGTGCCAGCTCCTCGTCGAGCTGTGATGAGATCTTTTTGAGGAAGTTGAGCTGGATTTCAAGTTTCGTCCAAAGGGCTTGCACCAAAACCAGTCTCTCGTTGATGAGCTCATCTGCACCACGATACGACTGATAAGTAGTGATGACTTTATTCGCGAGTCTGTAGTGGTTAGCGATCGTACCTTTCATCACCATGCTGACCCTCCGATTTAGGAGCGGCGCGGCCCGTAGCGTTGGCCTCGTAGCCTAAACTCACTTGATGCAACCATCGATGACACCTGCGACGGCAAGTAACAGTTCGGCAACCATGAGACCTATTGTTGAGATTGTTTTACTGGGAAAGCACTCTGCGAAGACGCTGAAGATAAATAACTTGTCGTAGGGCAAGGAGTAGCACAAGGCTCCCCCAGACCATCCTAAGCGGGAGGCCATGAGGGCGGTGCCGCTCACCAGCCCCTGTAAGCGAGGGCGGCTGTGCCGCGATATCCATTGGGTCCCGTCCTTTTAGGCGCTATTTGCTATTGAACACCCGCCAAGCAACGCATTGGGTCCGCAGCTGAGGATCTGCGCGGCGGAGTGGAACGCCACATCAGGTGTTTTGGTATCGCATAGACAGGGCTGACTGCGCGGCTCTTCAGCAGTCTCGTGACGGTGAGCTGAGGCTGGCCTTTGCTGACGAGGATAAGACTCATACCACCCAGCAGTGCCAGCACTACGTACCTTACCAACGTACCTAAACGGCCAGACACCATGCCGGCTCACCATCCCCGATCTACCAGCCATAGTTGAAGCGTACTTATCTCGCGCAAGCCTATAGCCCATCATGGGCTCCAGTGTGGGGGCCAACATGCCATCACCTTTGGTTCTCAGATGCAGGCTACAGACCGAGTTTCTGGATGGGTGTGTCAAACACAAGAGGAGAGTGTCTATGTTGCACCTTGCACCGCGCAGCTCGAGCCTAGATACCGTTTTCGAAGAACTCTGGGACATCGAACCTACCATTGGCCGAGGGTCTTTCGGCGTGGTCCGCTTCGAACGGCTAAGAGGACACCCAAGTGTGCGCTTCCAGTCGTCATCACATCGCGTGAGAGCTGTCAAAGAGATCAGCAAAAGAATGCCCGACGGTCACCACTGGGACTACATGAAGGAACTGGAGGCAATAGCGAAGTTTTCTCAGCCGAATGTGAGTTTGAGCACTTGATATCATAGGCCCCTAGCATTATTGAGCACAGTTTCCTGATCACTCGGCCAACAGTATGCACCATTCTTTGTCAGGACGCGTGGATGGTTCGAAAACGCAGAATCCGTCTTCATAACCATGGAGTATTATCCTCTCGGAGACCTACGCAGATTCATGGATTCTCAGTCGCCATTTCCCGAGAGTCTGACGAGTCACATAATTCGCCAATTAACACGAGGTATCAACTACATGCATGCCAGCGGCTTTGCACATCGTGATCTGAAGCCGGCTGTAAGTGGCCATTCTGCACCGTCGACTGGAAATCGGTACTCACGCGTGGCAGAATATTCTAGTCGCATCGACCTCGCCAAGGTGGTCCGTACGAATTGCTGATTTTGGCATCAGCAAGCAGGCCCTCGAAGGTGGGACGTATCTTCGAACAATGCATATCGGTACTTTCGGATACATGGCACCCGAGGTACTGGGGTTTAACGCCCAGAACAGCCCAAGGGCAGCATATTCGGTGACAGTGGACATGTGGGCCATTGGTGTGATAGCCCTGGAGCTACTCATGAAGCGGCATCCCTTTCCCAACGTCTCGGACCTGGTAGGCCACGTTCATGGCACTCGCACGGTTCAGTATGACGGAGTCCTCGGGGTGCACCCCTCGGACCTCTGTCGTGATTTTATCGGCGGCTTGTTGACGCCACATCCTGCCATGCGACCAGCTGCCAGCGTTGCCGTGAAGCATCCCTGGTTGAAAGAGATCAAGGTCGAGATTGTTGACTCCGAGGATGACGAACCGTGAGTGGAATATGCCTTTCACAGTCAAAACGTTACAGCATTGGACTGACTAAGACAGGCTTTTCGTAGAAGATTACCCTCCAGACGAAGACATGACGATGCGCCATCGTGATGCCGTCACCCCCGCCTCATTACCATCACTGGCCTGGTACAACCTACGACTGACAACGGGCGCACCTGCAAGTGACGCAGGAACGTTGATGAGCACCCAGGCTGGCCTCCAGCTGGACAGGAGCGGCTTGTTGCCGAGCTTTCAAGCACTGTCGTTAGAAACGGTATGTTCAAATCTGAAATTTTTGGTGCTTCGTTACCAACTAGCAGGAATTAGACAAGATATTTCGTTTTGCGATCAGATAACCAGACGGACGTTGAGACCAGCATCGCCCACGGTATCTGGACTTCTAGTCCGCGCGTGAACAAGATCATTGAGAAAGGCCATACCAGATCAGGCGGTAGAGTTGTGTTCTTCTTCTCAGTCATAAAAAGGTAAGCTCAATTACATTACTACCAATTGAGGAGGCAGCGGAAACGCTGATGAAAAAATTAATAGCCAGCGATTCTGCGGTGTCGCGCAAATGACAAGCCCTATGGATTGGAATCATACGGACGAACACTGGCTGGAAGATTCGTGGAGAGGGTAAGCAAGTCGTACAATCTAGGTACTTGAGTATTGCACGACTGACCAACGTTGCGTGCAGCCGATTCACTGTCGACTGGCTCTGCTTGACGGAGCTCTCTTTTAGCAAGGTCAAACACGTGCCTGTATCACAGCGCACACCAGGGTTCCGTGCCATTGCATGTTACGACGGGACAGAGATATCGCCCGACTCTGCACACCAGCTATTGAGTGCATTCTCGGCCGAAGAGGAGGCTGGGATGGTCATGACAGGTGGAGCAGTACCTGCTGCCTTGTGATGACCTATCAGTGCGTGGTTCGGAGCAGAGTGGAGAGGTCTTCCACACGTAGTCCGCAGGCAATACTTGATAGGTATGGGGTTGTAATACATCTGAGTTCTGGGCCTCCGCAACTAGGGAAGCTCTCCGCAGCTCTTATATACGCGTTCTCGTAGTCCTTAGCCCCTGACTAGCTCCCTGTTCTGTGGCTTCGCAGGGGTCTCCTGACATGGCCCTGGGAGTATGGGTTGCGGGAGATAGCGGCGCCAAAGTGAGTCTAGCGATGTGTCAAGCGTATGCTTCACCCATTAGAGTTCAATTGAATTATTCATAAGTCCCTTTGCTAGCTACTTTTCACGAATGGTCTTTTAATCGAGCTGAGTCGCCACGATTTCTCCGCATGCCGGGTCCGTTCTTGGATTCATACAGGCAGCCGAGTGCCCGTCTGATTTTTGCCGAC